ATCATCTTAAAGTTTTTGGGTGTAAAGCCTTTGTGCATGTTCCTAAGGATGAGAGGTCAAAGTTGGATGTTAAAACTAGGCAATGTATCTTTGTTGGTTATGGTCAAGATGAATTCGGCTATTGTTTCTTTGATCCAGTTAAGAAGAAACTTGTTAGAAACCGTGATGTTGTGTTCTTTGAAGACCAAACAATTGAAGATCTTGACAAAGCTGAGAAAGTTAATTCTCAGAGCAGTGAGAGCCTAGTTGATGTTGATCCAGTTCCTTTGACTATTCCACCAGGTGAAAATCTTCAAGATGATGAAAATCTTCAAGTTGATATTGAAGATAGTGATCATATTCAGAATGACCAGTATGCCGTTGATGCTCCAGTGCAAGACAATGTAGTTGGTGAGGAACCAACTATTATTGATGCTCCCGAGAGTTCTCTCAGAAGATCTACTAGAGAGAAAATACCTTCATCTCGTTATTCTCCCATGAGTATGTACTCTTGACTGATGGGGGAGAACCAGAGAGTCTTGATGAGGCCATGGAAAGTGAAGAAAAAGAAATGTGGTTTGATGCTATGGAGGATAAAATGAAGTCTCTACATGATAATCATACCTTTGATTTGGTTTTGTTACCTAAAAATCGAAAAGCTTTGAAAAACATGTGGGTTTTTAAGGTGAAACATGAAGAAGGTAACCCGGTTCCACGGTACAAGGCTAGATTAGTTGTGAAGGGCTTTAACTAGAAAAAGGGAATTGATTTTGATGAGATATTCTCTTCACTTGTGAAGATGTCATCCATCCGTGTGGTTCTAGGCTTACTTGCAAGTCTGTACTTGGAGGTTGAACAGATGGATGTTAAAACTGCTTTTCTCCATGGTGACTTGGATAAAGAAATTTATATGGAGCAGCCGGAAGGCTTTGAAGTCAAGGGAAAAGAGAATTATGTTTGCAAATTGAAGAAGGGCTTGTATGGTCTAAAACAAGCTCCCAGGCAATGGTACATGAAGTTTGGTTCTTTTATGAGTCAACAGGGCTTCAAGAAGACTTATTCAGACCATTGTGTTTTTGGGCAAAAATTCTCTGATGTTGACTTCATTATCGTTTTGCTTTATGTTGATGACATGCTTGTTGTTGGTCATAATGCTTACAGGATTAAAAAGTTGAAGCAAGAGTTGAATAAGTCTTTTGCTATGAAAGACTTGAGACCAACAAGGCAGATTCTTGGCATGCAGATTGTCTGTGATAGAGATGCCAAGAAATTGTGGTTGTCACAAAAGAAGTACATTCAGAAAGGACTTCATTGATTTAACATGAACAAAGTTAAGGATGTCAGTACACCTTTAGCTATGCATTTCAAGTTGAGTACTAATCATTGTCCTTCCACTGATGGTGAGAAGGAAGATATGAAGAAAGTTCTTTATGCTTCAGCTGTTGGTAGTTTGATGTATGCAATGGTGTGTACAAGACCAGATATTGCTCATGCTGTTGGTATTGTTAGCCGTTTTCTTTCTAATCCGGGAAGAGAGCATTGAAATGTTGTAAAGTGGATTATGAGATATCTTTGTAGCACTTCTAGTCTGAGTTTGTGTTTTGGTACAAAAAATCCTATTCTTTGTGGTTATACTGATTCAGACATGGCTGGTGATGTTGATACTCGTAAGTCTACTTCAGGCTACTTGATTACTTTTGCAGGGGGGCTGTGTCTTGGCAATCTAGGTTACAAAAATGTGTTGCGTTATCTACTACAGAGGCTGGGCTTATTGCAACTGTTGAAGCTTGCAAAGAGTTGATCTGGATGAAGAGAGTTTTGGGGGAACTTGGTTGTTCTCAAGAGAGGTATGTGCTTTATTGCGATAGTCAAAGTGCTATTCATCTTGGCAAGAATTCTACATTTCATGGTCGGTCTAAACACGTTGATGTGAGGTATCATTGGATTCGAGATGTGTTGGATTCTAAGTTGCTTGAACTTGAGAAAATTCATACCAATGATAATGGTTCCGACATGATGACTAATGCTTTGCCAAGAGGGAAGTTTGAAGAATGTTGCATGATCACCGGGATGGCGGTTTCCTCCACATAGTCGGTAGGGGGAGATTTGTTGGGTTTTGGGCCTTTTTCCCTTTCTATGTGGATAAATAAAAGTCCAATATGACTAGCCCACTTTTGTCCATAAGCCCAATATTATGGTGCATATGTAAGACTTTCTTTTAGGTCTTATTTTGATATATCACAAGAGTTTGAGAGCAGCCATATAGAGAGAAAAGTGAGAAAGTGCAGATTTTCGCACAAGCCCTAGCAGCAAATTTCAAATCGCGATTTCTGCTTCGTTTCTTATCCGATTGAGCTGATTTTTGGACAGCTTGTTCTTTTCAACTTAATATTTGATTGGAAACTGAGAGAGGGTGATTTGGAGTCCTGTAGCTCAAGATTTTTGCTTGTAAACAGTAGCTGCGGGTTTGGTGTTTTTTGCTTCTTTTATTTCTCTATTTTTTCTTATCCGATTGAGCTGATTTTTGGACAGCTTGTTCTTTTCAACTTAATATTTGATTGGAAACTGAGAGAGGGTGATTTGGAGTCCTGTAGCTCAAGATTTTTGCTTGTAAACAGTAGCTGCGGGTTTGGTGTTTTTTGCTTCTTTTATTTCTCTAGTTTTTGGTGCTATCTTGTAGTTGTGTTGCTCATTGTTTGGCACTGTTGGTGGCCATTTTGGAGAACACTTTTTGTAACTCTTGTTGATTTTAAGTGGAGCTTTGGCCTTGTGGTTTTTACTCTTCACACCGAAGAGGTTTTCCACGTTAAACTTTGGTGTCTCATGTGTTGATTTATTTTTCTTGCTTGGTTGATTTATTTGCTGCCCAAACAGTTTTATTCTTGCATTATTTTGCCTTCTCTTGGTTCAAATAGAAGGGAAAGTTTTGACTTGGATTTTCTTCCGCTATAGCTCTGTCGTGCACAATTATTTTGTGTTTGCCTTTCCCAACAAGTGTGCAGGTCAAGTGAAACGAATAACAAAACACAATTGTTGTTGAGAATAGAGTAGAACGATCATAGAGTTGCTGAAAATTTACTACACTTGTTCAAAATTTACTTTTTCTGTTTTCTTCTTTCCTTTCTACTCTTCCATCTCATAAATATATATTAATACTAGAGCAATATTTGATCTATAACAATACAATCTGAGTGCAAAAAAGAAGATTTTGAAGAAGAGACCCAAGAAGAAAAGAAAATCTAAACAATGTTTGGCATAAGTGAGAAAGGTGTCGCTAAACTACTTTTTTTTCGAAAAGAAAAAACCCTAGGCTCTTAAATCAAAACATCCATAAATAACACTTCTAATGCTCCATTGAAGTTAAATCCTGTCTAATATCGCGATGGAGTTACCTATACTGAATGGACACTGCCAAATTTGAGGAGCTTATAGTGAAAGTAGAATCTTCACTATGCAATTGTTGGTAAATTTATATGGTAGACCAGAGTTGGTGGGATTTAAGAAGGGTGATACCACAACAATTCATTATAAATTGACTTAAAAGTCTCAAGGATAGTGTGAATAATTAGAAGTTAGTTACAGGGTTAACTAACTTATTGAAAGTTAGTTAGTTAACTATTGTAGTTAGTTAGAATTAAGTCTAGTTAGTAGGTCTATTTAAACTGTACGCATATGCCTCTTGTAGGCGTTGAAAAAGAATGAAATTAACAAGATTCTTTTACTCTCAAGTCTGCTTCTTCTTCCTCTCTTCTCTTCTTAGTAGTTCAGTTCATTCCTATTACTTTCTTCATACATTTCAATTAAGTTAGTCAACGTGTCGTGATATGTTAAGATAAAATTGTAGTTTGTTAATTATTATTTTATAATTATTCGTGGTTAGTTAAGAAAAAGACTTTAGCAATGTGTTGTTATTGTAAGTCATGTTTTAATATCAAAATAAAAAATTTAAAGTTATTACTGTAAATAACGTTTTAGCCTTTAATCGTGATTCATAGTTATAATTTTATAACACATTCAATTAGCTTCCATAAATGGATAGAGTTTAGTAGGAAGTCATTATTAAGAGTTACATATTAAGGATAGAACATTACCCACAATAACGAATTATCTTTAACGTCATTAACTATTGACATTTTCCTCATAAAGTTTTTACTAAAATAATATCTAACATGTTATGTTATTATGAAATATGTTTATTTTTATTTTAATATTTTAGAAAAAATATTTTATTTTTCTGTAAACCGATTTACATAATAATTGATTTTGATAGAAACATTTCATTAAGTGTGCTATATGTAAATGACACTGTTGTTAAAAAAAACATTAAAAAGAAGAGAAAACTTGAAGAGTTTTTGCCCAAAAATGTCTTCACACTATACACCAACTCTAATTACATCCTTAAATTCTTCTTCTTAATAAATAAACATCCCTCACGTATTTAAAACATAGTACAATATGATAGTTGCGGTGAGCAACAGCTACATGTCACTCCCAGATGTGTTGGCCTTCTACGTGTTAAATCCACCGTAAATCCAAATTCAAACAAAAAAACTTGACTAAGCAGCACATCACTCACATATTTTTTTTGTTCTATCATATATCCATTCCTCCCTTAAGCTCCCAAATTATAGAAGAATATAATGGCTATCTCTAACCTTATTGTAAAGCCATTTCCTCCTTTATTTCACCCCAAACACACCATCAAAACCAATAATTATAAATATGATGATTACCATACCACCAACATACTGGCCCTAAGGTCTCACATCCTATGCCTAAAAACAAACAATATTAGTACTACTTCTCCACTTTTTGACCAACCTAGACCTAGTCTATTCAAAGATAAAGATTACAAGCTTTCCTGGCAGGAAGAAGTTAAAAGAGCATACGCTTTAGAGATTTCCAACCAAAACTTGAATGATGATGAAAAATTGCAAGAATTGGTTGACAAGAGGTCTGTAGATAATGTGAGAATGTTGATAGTAGACTCAGTGCAACATGCATAGGCAGGGCATGCTGGAATGGCTCTTGGGATGGCTGAGGTTGCATATTTCTTGTATAGACATGCCATGAGGTATAATTCAACAAGTCCTAAGTGGTTTAATAGAGATAGGTTTGTTTTGAGTGCTGGACATGGATGCCTTCTCCAGTATGTTTGCCTTCATTTTGCTTCTTTCCAATCTGTTCAGGTATATACAATTCATTTATGTTTGCTCAATAATTCTTTGTAACAAGAAAATTTCCATACTTAAGGCCTAAAACTAGGACCTGTAGATCCAATCATATAACCAAGGCCAAAAATTATACTATTGTTTATATGTGGTGAAAATTATTATTTTTTGTATACATAGCATATGTTGAATCTCCTGGCTTCTTTGTGTCTTTATTTCTTCATATTTTAAACAACTCACTGAAAAATATTTGCTCCGCCACCGCATATAATTATAACAAGTGATCTCATGACTGTTTTCTCCTGGTAAACCCAACAATGAATTGTATTACTTGCCATGTGAGTAGATGGCTGATCTACCTAAATTGTGATACTGTAAAGTATTTTCCCCCAAGACAAATAGGACATGAAATTTAGAAATCACAAGCACCCTAAAAAACAAATAAGCTAAGTACAAATCTATACAAGCAAGTCGACGAGTTATGTGTGGGATTAACATAATTCAACACAGGAACAGGGCACTCTGTGACATTTCAGATCATTTCCTGAGATATTAGTCTTAATTTAAATCCTTAATATTGAAGAAATAATATTGTGTTGATGTGAGGTTTACTTTCACTACAACAAAAGCATCTTTTAACGGCAATAAATATGCATATCAACAAAGAGTGCTTAAAACATTACCGGCATTAGTTGATTATCATTGGGATCCAATGTTGCTATCGGCTTTAGGGGCATTTACAGAGAGTGCTAAAATGTAATTGTCACTAGTAATTGCCCCTCAAAAAATATATGTTACTGTCGTTAATTAATTGTCACTAAACATCACTTTTTATTTAATGCTTTCTCTTTTCTCTATTGTTGTCAGCTGATAAAATAGACGTTAGGGGAAACAGAGAGATGTTTCCCCATAGCATTTTATTTTCCTTACATACATAGACGGTTCGATGGTAATTATCACTTGTATTCGAGTGTTCTGCTTTGTACATGTAAACAGTTTTCATCAAAATTTTAAGTGAATTATTGCGTCATTCAGATTGAAGACCTTAAATGCTTGTGTAAGCTTGGAAGCCAGACGCCTGGGCATCCAGAGAATGTAGTGACACAAGGCATCGAAGTCACAACCGGTATAGCTAAATGCCAGTTTGATTTCACTTTCGTTTTTCCCGGACACCTGATGATAGTGTTTGAGCTATATTTTCAATTTGGTATAATCTCCATGATCATAATTTTGTCTCACAAGTAAGGAATTCTCTTATTTATGTTAAGAAAAAATGCACGAAAAAGCCCTTTGCAGGAAGTAATAGTGAAAATGTCCTCGTTAACTTTGGCTAGTGCAGACAAAATAGATAAAAATTTGAAATATCCGTCAAGCCGCCCTCCAATAACAACCAGATTGGTAACTGCTTTTTAAAGGTGGGTAAATATAGAAAAAGTCAATACAACCCTTCAAGAAAATGGGTAAGTAGTGGATTCACTGGTCGACTTCTCTGCTGACTAATATAAATCGAAGATCCTTCATTTATTTGGTTAAACATCATCTCGTGCAGTTGCATGATCCTAGCTTCAATCAATGGTAAAAATTGTGGATGGCAACTAACTAGGCAAAATATAAAATTAAGTGCATGATATCTATTTTATTTGTGCTAATACCCTTGGGTTTATATAAAGGTAAACAATCTTTCCTTGTATGATCATAATCTCTTGTATCTCCAGCTATATATTTCATTATTATTGATATTTGCAGGAGTACTCTAATTTTTATTTTCTTGTATGAATGTAATATCACTAAACTAAAAGCCTCTTGGATAACAAGGAACATTTGTTGAAAGTTCTATAAAGAGCCTTATGTAACTTGATATGAATTGTGTTGGATTTTTCATTGTAGGATACGACGATATTATTGTTTTCTCAGCAACCATGATCAGCATGGTATATTCAATTTCCAATTTTTGTGTCACACTACAGGCCCTTTGGGACAAGGTGTTGCGAATGCAGTTGGTCTTGCTTTAGCAGAAGCTAACTTAGGTGCAAGATATAATAAGCCTGATGTTGCCGTTGTTGATCACAGAACGTAAATAGGCTGACTTATCCTCTTTATTTTGTGGATGAACCAAACAGCATTTGATTCAGATATATTTTCTTCAGGTATTGCATCATGGGTGATGGCTGTTCTATGGAAGGCATATCAAACGAGTCTGCATCCCTAGCTGCACATTGGAAGCTGCACAAGCTTACATTGATATATGATGATAACCATAATACTATCGATGGTAGCACTGACCTTGCACTTTCAGAAGACATATCGGCACGATTTGAAGCTCTAGGATGGAACACTATCACTATGGATAACTCTGAAGGAAATTTAGACGCATTCAAGAATGCATTGATCTCTGCACATAGTGAGACCAGAAAACCAACTTTCATCCGGGTATGCAGAGTCGGTATTACACCCAGAACAGAATAGATATGTCATAATGTCTTCATTTTATAAGTTGTGGACTATCTTCCAAGTTTTCAATTATTCCAGGTGCGGTAGTGCACTGCCTACTGAACTTTCTTTTTTGCAGGTGAAAACAATTATAGGGAAATTGTCAAAAAAGGAAGGAACATCAAAGGCTCACCATGGAACCTTTGATGATGATGATGTAAAGCAAATGAAACAGAGAGTTAAATGGGATGATAGAGAACCTTTCCACGTCATTCCTATGGTTTACAGGTAATATTATTTATGCACCATATTAAAGATAACAAAGATTATGTTGTAAGATAGTAGGTCCATTTGTTATTAGGGAAACGCGAGCACAAACAGATATCGGTGGAAGGTTGGAGCAGGAGTGGCATTCTAAACTTAATTATTACCAAAACAAATATCCTGAGGAAGCTGCAGAATTCAAGCTTCTTCTTGCTGATAGGATGCTTCCTGGCTGGGAAAGCTCATTACCGGTAAAATGTGCATCCATCTAATTTAATACCTGTTAGAAACTAATTCATCTGAAATGTGTTTGTGGTTGCATTGTCAAAGAAGACAAATACATTTTCTATTTAAGAAGGAAAGATATACCTGCAGGTCAAATTGTATATCAGCGAAATCAGGATGAGTGATTAGTCAAACTCTTCCGTCTCGTTGAGTGGTCCATTGTTCTGAGTAATTTCAAGAACTTGGACCCAAGTTATATGTTTGTGTTACATATTTGTAGCCCTTAAACATTAGATATTTGTGATTGTCGTTTAAAATGTATCATAAGATATATAAGGCTTCACCATCCATAGTTATTTACTCTTCTTCAGCCAGAATTTTTTATCTAAATTTTGGTACACTATCAACAACAGAAATGGTCCATGTCTGATCCAGTGGATTCCACCAGAGGATATTCAGGGAAGTGCTTGAATACACTCGCTAAAGTGCTTCCAGGACTTATTGGGGGTAGTGCAGACCTTGCCAGCTCAAATCAAGCCTATCTCCATAATTTGGGAGACTTCAAGCAGCCCGATTCCCCATGGGGGCGAAACATTAGGTATGGAGTCCGGGAACATGCAATGGCTGGAATTTCCAATGGACTTGCGTTGCACGGTGGAGGGCTGATACCATTTGCAGCAACTTTCCTTGTTTTCTCAGATTACATGAAGAACTCTGTCAGATTGTCTGCTCTTAGCCATGCTGGAGTCCTCTACATTTTGACCCACGACTCAGTCGGAATAGGCGAGGATGGACCAACTCATCAACCAATTGAACACCTTGCTGGTCTTCGAGCGATTCCCCACTTGCTGCTCTTCCGACCTGCTGATGGCAAAGAGACTGCTGGAGCCTATAAGGTGGCCATTGAAAACCGAAGTGTACCAAGCCTTCTTGCATTATCAAGGCAAAAGGTGGCAGCGAATGTGGAAGGAACATTGGCTGATGCAGTACGGAAAGGCGGTTACATTGTTAGCAACAAATCTGAGAAGGAGCTACCGGAAATCATATTGATTGGCACTCGATCAGAGCTGTGTTTGTGCGAAGCCAGCGCAAACGTGCTTAGAAAAGAAGGGACAAGAGTAAGAGTCGTTTCACTTGTGTGTTGGAGACTTTTCGATAGGCAGCCAAGGGATTACAAGGAGTTTGTTTTACCATCGAGTGTATCAAAACGTGTTAGCGTGGAGGCAGGCTCACCCTTAGGGTGGAAGGAGTATGTCGGAGATGAAGGCATTGTTATGGGGATTGATGACTTTGGTTCTAGCGGACCATATTCAGAAGTATTCAACAAGTATGGTTTCACAGAGGAAAATGTGACCAAAACTGCAAAATCTTTGCTTACCAAGTGAAGCTCTATTACCACACACACATATATTGAGAGATAGGCATAAATCATTCCCCTTTTTCTTCTATTTTATGAGTAATGAATGACTCAATAGTCATTACTCCACTTTCAATTCTCATTTGGTTTCTTCCCAAGGATGGAGATGGTAAGAACTCAACAAAAGCTTAGAGGCTTTAACATCTCAGCCAACAACATCGCTCATATTTCCAGTTCATAATCAATTGCTACACAGCATCAAATGCCAAAGGGTTTTTTTAATGTCTATAGAAAGAAAGAAAAACACACACAAGAATCTCAGTAATTGTGAGGTTGAAGGCTAATGGGAAGTCCTTGAAGAGGGGTAGGCATTGGATCATATATAAATTTTTCATTTGGAATAAGTAATTTCCAAGTAAATTTCCTGATTAAGACGTGCAGAAAGACGAGCATCTATATATGGTGCAGGTCCAGCTTCTTCAAATCTTGATGGTTCCAACCTCGTTGGATTGGGGAAAATCTCTGGATCCAAACTTGTTAAACCAGTATTCCAGTACAACTGCTCCAACATATATGAGTTTAAGAAACTATTTTTATAATCACGTCACTAGATTATAAGATAAATATAGTTGAATTTCTAGTGATAATTACATTGTGATTTTATAATTTAGATCCTTTGTGAATTTAGTTGGAAAGCTCATGCTGCAACTTGGCAAGTGTTGTATGATATTAAAGCATCATATTCATAGATAGAGTAAATGTACTTACCTTCCATCCCTTAGGGATATGATAACCTTCATAATTTATATCCACAATTGCTTCTCGATAAGCCCCCAATATAGGTGGTGTAATTATCATAACTTCAGCTATGACATTCCACGAATACTTCATCTTCTGTATATCATCCCAATTTAAAAATTCCCCTTCTTTCTTTGATGATGCTATCTCAATATGCGCTGCTTTGTCACCAAATAATTAATAAAAGATGGACCGTATGTAAGACAATTCCATAAATTTATAGAAGCATAATACATAAATATGTCATGTAATTTGGATTCAGTTAACATTTATGCCTTTTAACTTAAGAGGTGTACAGGTAAGCACTTAAACTTGTATAAAGTTAAGCAAGTAGACACACATTCTACGTGACATAATACACATAGGACACCACATATGACGTGTGTATCTACTTGTTCAACTCAATACATGTTTTAAGTGTCTATTTGTGCAAACTCAAAATTGGAGGACATATATAACAAATGAGGCTAAGTTAAATAGCATATTTATATATTATGCCTTATAAAAAGTAAGGATGACTAGATAAAAGCATGTTGTGATCTTCTTAGTTAAAGGGTAAATTGTTAAGATCAAAATAATCAAGTGTCACGCATATGGCTAACAAAGCAAATCCCATAATTCAGAGAAGAAAAATATATAAAAAGGAACAATAATTTAACATACTGACCTTGCAGTATGTTTTGATAAACTTGAGGGTGCTCTGCAAGAGTCTTGATGAGTAAAGTAAGAGTGACAGATGAAGTGTCATGGCCAGCAAAGAGCAGCAACAATATGTTATTAGCAATAAGTAGTTCAGACATGTACTTCCCATTTTCATCAGGACAGGACAACAAATGAGACAAAATGTCTTGTGAAGGTTGTTGACACACAATTTTGACCCTCATTTCTTCTAATTTAGTGTTTTAAAGCTTCAAAATTAATGATATATAAAATTATCTTTTTGACAACTATTTTTACTACTATGACTACTTATCTGACAAATTTTATATTCTATTATTGAAATTATTATTATTATCACTTTTCACACTCTTTTATTTAATAATCGATTTGTCATTGCTTTATTTCAAGTTTCACACTTATTAAAGTAATAATTATAATTTCATATTTTGCATCTATATTTTTATAATTTTATTTTGTAAATTAGTATTTGTCATCCTATATTATCATATTTATGGTTTTAGCTATTAAGTTAGAAGTTCAAATAAATTAATTTAAAGAAGAAAAAAAAGCCCAAAATGCTCTAGCAATTTAGCTATGTTCCAGCCCATTTACAAGTTTCAAATATTCAGCAATTTGGCTATCCAAATGCAGCCCATCTCGACCCATTTTTTGCTCAAAATGTAGCAGTCCAACTACTCAATTGAACGGACCCATTTCCTCTAACATGTCAATTTAACCCTATTCATAAACTCTAGCAGCCATACCCCACCCCTCATTCCATTTTTCAACCATGGTAGGTAGCACCATAACTGTGGATAGTCTTTGTCCAACCTTTTTGAGCAAATTTCATCCATTCACTGTGTTCTAGCATATCCTAACGTTCAAAATTTCCTTCTCACTCATATTCAACAATTTAGTCAACACAAGAAGCCAAATAACTTTTTGATTTTTTGATTTTTTGATTCTTTGGGGCAGAAGTTCACTGTTAAAACAACTTGATTTACGGAGTCCAAGATCTTCATGTGATTTTTCTCCAACCAAGACAAATTTGAAATTCAAAATAATTCCCGCTCAAACTCTAAGCTCTGAGCTTTATTCAGTTGAAGAAACGGGCTTTGGTTAGCAAAAGAGATCACGAAAAAGACTTGAACATTCCAAAGAATACCACTTTTTTACATTTCAATATCTCCTACCTTTACTTTCTCTTTTGTTTGACTTTGTTGGAGGAACGAGCGTAGATTCTTGATCGAAGACAACTCAGTTCACTGCCCCTCAAACGGTAATCTCAACTTTATTTTCCTTTTTTAGTTTATCTATCATCTGAGTGTGTAAATTTGTTTGAAATCATATTTTGGAGATTATTGAAGTGTATGAGTTATGTCATGAAGATTATGTTTTCATTATGCTTTCCTCTGAACTCTTATATGCCATGTTTATTTTTCTGCATTTTCATAAAATTCCAAACTTGTAAACTAGAAGTCCTATTTTAAATAGTTTGGTATTAACTCTTCGGGTCAATTATTTGACAACATGTGAATTTATTCAAAATCATATCATGTCTTACATCACTTTAAATGATTAAAATCAGATTTTGAAAGTTAAAAATATACTCTGTCTATAAATGTTTAGTAGAGTAATTTAGAATATGATTATTGTTGTCTTTTGTCTTAATTAACATTGTGAAAGCAAGAAGCAACATCTGTTATGCATTTACATTAGAATAAAAATATGATTACACTAACACTAATATGCAAATTTGTACGTTTTGGATATTTCATGAAATGATACTATTTTAAAATTTTCGCTAAACTTGTATTGATATATCTTATTGTTTTAAGTTCAGTACACCGCCTTTTTAAATATGTTTGATAGTGACAATTTCTCTAAATTTGAATTTTTCGTTTGTTTTTTATTTGCCATCTTATGAGTTATATTCTAATGTATTTATTTTGCATCTTCATATTAAAATCTGCTTTCTTTTACTAATTGTCATCTCCTTTCCTTTGTTTGGCATGTACACCGGAGTCGAAGAGTCTTACTTTACGACTCGACATCACTACAAGACTCAAAAGTTGCATATACATTTTCATTTGTGTTTCTCACTTCCTAGAAACTCCATCAAGAAGAAAAACAAGAGAAAGTGACAAGCGCTCGACTTTACTCTTCTTTAGTTGCTTATTCCTAATTTTCTTTATGTTATTTGCTATGAATACTGGTGTGTTTGTTTTTGATAACTTTGTTTGACATACTTAGAAGTTAAACTGATCTTTGATAAAAAATAATTTAGAAAGCATTTAGCTACTAATGTGGTCAAGCTTATAGTTGAATATATTTCCTAAGTTAGTTTTGAGTCAATCTTGGAGCATTAAATTTTTAAAACAAAAAAAAAGGTTTGTAAATGGTATGTCCAGAAGTTGTTTTTAACTCAACTTAGCATACTAGATCACTTTGATGATTTATTTATTTTTCTTAAAAAATAAATATCTATTCAACAACAACAAATTGTTTTTAAATAAATAAAACTACTACTTTACGCTTTTTTAAACACTACTTTATCTTTTTATTTTAAATTAGTCAATTATTTTACGCTTTAGCACTAATTTTCACTTAGCCTAATTAATTATTTAAGTTTGGCCGATTAACCATTTTAAATGGATCTTAAAGAATGTCTAACCCCTTCCCTTTAGGTTAGTTGAACCCTTACCTAGAATCTTATGTTTAGTAGACCTTAAAATGAAGTTAACTTTAGACAATAGACTTTAATCATTTTAGGTATCCTAATTCACCGTAATAATTAGGTGGCGACTTCTTGACTTAGTTAATAATTTAGAAATCACTAAAATGTTGTACACTGTTTGGACCTCGAGTTAAAATGGGGTATAACAAAGGTGAAGCTGTTTTTTGTTCCAAGGCTTCTCTTCTTTTCCTTACAAATTGCAATAATTCTTTCCTAATAACATTTGTAGCTCTTATTGCCTTGTAAAATGTTGTACCAGGTAAATTTAGAGGGATGGCATAGAGTCCTTTCAAGAAAATGTTGAACTGTACAGAAAGCCTTTCAACATCATTATGGTCTTCAATGCTCATGAATAATTGACATGCCACTTTGAAACTGTATAATTTGACCAATGGAAATACCTTCATCTAATCTTTACCTAAACAAATATAGACCAGTACAGAAAAAAGGTTAAATACAACAATGAGTAGAAGTTATTATCGTATTACTTCCTCCGTTTCAAAAAGAGTGACCTAGTTTGACTTGGCACGTAGTTTAAGAAAATATAGAAGACTTTTGAATTTTGTGGTCCTAAATTAAAGTTATGTAAAATGTACAAAATTGTCCTTTAATCTTGTGGCTTTAAACATGCCGCGTGGAAAAATATTAATAAAAAGGAAAATAGGTCATTTTTTTTAAACATACTAAAAAGGAAAGTAGGCCATTTGAAACAGAGGGAGTATAACTTTTAGGACCCATTTGGTAGGCGGTATATATTAATTAGAATAGTCTTTGGATTAAAATTTAGTCCAACAGAATCATTGTTTGTTTATTTTATTTTATAACTTAATTCATGGATTAGTTATACCTCATATGAGGTCTTATTTTATCCCTATAAAAGGGAGAGATAACTAATCAAAGGTTTAACAATCTTTGGATAAGACCCCTAAATTACTAAATTATCCTCCAATTCTTTTTCTTAAATTTCTTTTATAATTTAATGTCCTTTTCTTATTTATATTGGAATGATTATAAATGTTCTTTTTATTCTCCAAATTCATATAATTTAATTTGATGATTTCACAATCTCATATTTTTTTCTCCGTGTTTGATTTGCTATATATTGGGTTGCTTTTTAAAAAAAAAAATGTAGTTCGTCAATTGACCACTGAACTATTTTTATTGTAATAAGCTTCGGGTATTTGAACAATTTTAGTAGCCTTCTATGTGAAGTTTAAGGTATATTTGATCAAATAAAAAATTAGAAATACACCATGCTATCAAGGATATCCGTAGTGTCACATCACATCTCAAAATTATTACTGATTTTTTTAAAAATATATATATATTTTAGTATTTAACTTGACTAGTTAAATGAAATAGAAAATCCTACAAGAGAAGATTTCTAGTCTGTTTGGAAGGACACCC